ATCCGCCGTGTGCTTCTTGTCATGATCGAGAAATAACGGGATAATATGTCGTCAATTCAGTGTACAAATAATGGACTAACAATTAGTATGAAAAAAGTCAGTCAGCATTTGATATATTAAGCAATGACAAATTGTATTTGCTGACAAGGTCATTGTATCGACCATAGAACTTACAAAGTGATTACCTTAAACGACGAGACTGCTGATATTCTTGTCTCATAACATCTGCTAATAACGGAAAACAATTGGTATCCATAGGAATTCCAATAGATTTCTGGCAAATCTGGTCTTCAAAGATATTGTTAATCAGAAATTAAAATTTTTTTGATATCAACTTTGGAGTAATTGTGTGTACAATCAGAATGTTTTAACAAAATAATGACCAATGACAAGGTAAGCAAAAAAATTTACAAGTTACAATTTATTAAAAACAGCTGTCAATGATATAAAAAAAAAGCCTGGATTTTAATTTATCGTGAGGAATGATTGTGAATTTGAAATTTCGCCATTGGTTGTAGGAACAGAGCAAACACTGGTTATATATAAATATAATAATTCATAAGTTTTAATACTGTTGATTTTGACAATTTTTTGTAGCTTCAAATCCAAAAGTTCCATGAAATTTTTAGTATCCACATTTGATTTTTACCCCTTCTCGAATACATGTATACTGTTGCACGATTCTCCTGAAGATTCGCACAATAATTTGAATGCATTTGATAATAATTATTTGATATTAAATTTAAAAATTGATTGACAAAATGAATTATTTATCAGAATACTATCTGAATTTCATACCTCATGGGGTCAAATGGCGAAAAGAATCTGACTGAATATTAATGTGAGGGTTATTTATTCTTGTATATCATTACAGATCCTTGGTTTTTAATACATATCACATATTTATTGGTCATCATAATTTCTCATAAGTGAAAACAATTTCCTGCTAATGAATGTCCTCGGGGCAATAAATAAATTAGAAATTTACGTCTTCAAATTATAAAAAAAAATCATTAATCAATGAATAAAGGTTGGATTTGTTTTTCCGAGCAAGTTTTGAACCATGAACTATTTTGAAACCTAGTTTCACAAGTTCGTTAACATAATATTCTTTGATAGAGAGTTTTCAAAGATCATATGTAAATTACACTTAAAGATTTATAAAATGAAAATCGTCTCATAAATAGTTCAGGTTATAACTTCTTCATAAACTTATTCCGTCTATTTTCTTTATTACATCTACATCCTCCAACTCATACATATGATGTAAAAATTTTATCTATTGTTTATCATTATTTATTTATTCATTTGTACGAACGTTTTTTTTTTTAATAATGAGATGTTGCAATGATCAAAAAATATGTAATATGTATTAAAACATCATGGATCTGTAAAGATATACAAGTATAGATAACAAGCACATCAGTATTAAGTAAGATTTTTTACAGTCTTATCCAGCATATATATAAATCTACTTCAATATGGGTTGGATTTAAATATTAGCAACAACTATATGCCATTGTTTGAAATGTTTTCCATGGGTACCAATTGCGCTTCGTTATTGGAAGACCTATTTTTCTATTCATACGAGGCAGAATTGTGCAAGATCCTATGCGTGAAAAGAAGAAAGCACTTGCCGTGGCCTTCAAATCGACATTCAGATATATCGACGACGCATTGTCAATTAACAATGGTTATTTCCATTCCTATTTCGATACGATATATCCTGGTGAGCTTGAGATAAAAGATACCACAGAGTCTGCTACATCTGTTTCATACTTCGATGTTTTACTTGAGAAAGTCGTTAATGGTAATCTTACAACCAAGCTATATGATAAACGTGATGACTTTAACTTTTCTATCGTCAACTTCCCTCTCAACTGATTCGATACGAAAGAGCATGATCTACGTATGAAGTATATGAACAATTTCTAAAACGAGATAAATTACGACTGATTTTTCCTTTATTTTCCGATCATGACAAGGAGCACACAGTGGGTGTGACCAGTCGGCTAGGGATGACCACACCACGCCCATAGCACCTGCAGCCTGTTCAGCGAACGTTTGCAAGCGCTTGCTGGAATTCCTTATACTTTCAAAAGTAAATTGAGCGAGCGCTCGCGAACGTTCGCTCAGCTGAACAGGCCTCTGATCTCACCTCTGATGGTTAATTTGTCCGTGTTTGCTCTGCTCCTATTTTGTTATGTTTTATCCGATAAATCGCTAAGATTTTATATCGATAAAATTTCTATTTATTCTATTGTTACTTGATACAACATAGTCATATATCTAAATGTTAAATTACCACAGCTTGTGTTTTCCTTTTCCCATGTAGAAGTTTTTTGAAAAAAATCTGTTGGTTGGAATATAAAACAGGCGAGCTGATAAAGGAACACAAATAGTTCCTATCGTAATTCCAACAGTTTGTTGAAAAAACTTTGCAAATTATTCATAAATGTAGAAAAATTTTATGTTATAGACTTTTTAAAATTTTAGCGATTTTAAAATTCCTTAAAAGTTCATTCAGTATTTTCATTATCATATAAAACAATATCTCTAAATTCACTTTCTTTCTTTTTTCATTTGTTTTGGATCTTTGGTCCTTTTCCAATTTTCTAAGGTACAACATGGAGGGGTAGGACCGCAGATAGCATTCCTGCTCTCAGTATATGGATATCTTTCGGTACCTACCCAGAGTCAATGTTCTTATTTCATTTCAAAGCTTTACTAATTTAAAATTTAAGTTTATTGTCTCACCAAAAGGCCATTATTACAGATCAATTCTTTCAGTTCTTCAGCCATTCTTAAAGTCAATGCCAGCACGGTTTCAGGTACTACTCAGAATTTTTTTACGATATAACTTTAACAATTGTTAAACGTTTTGTCTTTTAAATAGCATAATAAATGGGCGGGTATTCTTTTACAGTTCTTTTTAGTTTTGGCGATCTAGATAGCTTGATAATATTCATTGATAAGTGTGATGAAATATGTATTCAATGCACTGAGTCAATATTTGCCTTTAAATTGCATTGAAACATTGCCATTGCTTCAAAATAAACAGTCAATGAATTTAAATAATATGACTACCTTTAAATAATATGCGAAGTTAATGATGATTGTGAAAAGCGGTTTCCTTTTTGTCATCATTTTTATAAAATCAGGTGAGTTGTATTTTTTTTCTTTATATGAAAAGTAAATCATCATGAGTAAAAAACAGACAACTTACTTAACCGTCTGTTTCTTCAAACTTCCTGTTGAATAAAACTCAGTCATATTTAATGTATAATACATTGGTAGTCCGTTTTCAGAATATTTAGTTGAAAGATGAGTTTTTATTAATAATTTTAAATTTGCCTCAATTGGACAATAAAAACCAATTCCAATCTAAGTTGAATGCTATAATATGTTTGTGTAAATTCTAATAATATCTTTACAAAAGGTTCCTCGATCGATCTCAATCCCTACGTACAGACCTCGTTAGAGCAGTCTTCAGATGGGTTGATGCTAGAACCAGTCTTCCAATGTGTATTCAACTCATTAATAGATGACTCTTTATATGATGTTCAGTGGTTCATTAATAATAACGAAATATTAGAAGCAGAGTCGCGCGATGTTCGTTTCAGTGACGTGAACATAACGTCATTGAAAACCCACCACTGGTCAGGGAATTACAGCCTTAATTTCAACGTTTGTATGATTTTTTTACTTTCAGCAAAGTTAATTTATAGTGAACAGTGAATAATGAATTAATTTTCTGGATTTAAAGTTTAGGTAGATACAATTAAAATTTGCACATCGATCGATTTTTTCTTCTTTAACAGGTGTCGTGTTCTGTGACTGCTAAAAATATCACCTCATGGAATACCACTATGTATAGCATGAGCTCCAACTTTCTGGCTGGAATAATTGTAATTTAGAGCCATACCTTACATTTCATTTTTATATCAATGTTAACACATTAGTTTTCTCTTTAAAGTTAATGCTTTAAAGTCTTAACATAAACATTTTAAAGATTTATTTTCTCATAAGCCAGAGTCCTTGGAGTATTTTGTTAAGGAGGGTGAGACAGTGGAAGTCTCTCTGACGAGTTCGTTACCTCTAAGTTGTCCTACGTCATTGAGTGAAGCCATGAAGAAGACATACTGCAGGATGACCTTGAATGTCTGGACATCAGCTCAGGAATCATGGGAAACTTGCAGGAACGGACTGGCAATTAGAGATTTACTACTGAATGATGATGGCTGTTCAGTGTCCCTTGATTTTAATGAAAACGGAAACACAACATCTCTTTTTAACATAACTGGCTATCTTGATGGAATAATTAATCATAAAAATAGAACCAGTTCTATTCAGTTTGGTGTATCTACATATCCTTATGATAGTTCTGGAATTTGGAGAAACATCAGTGTTCCAAAAATTAAGGCATGCTATTTTTTTTATGTTTTAGAAACAAGAGCATTTAAATGACATATGTACATACAAAAATAAAAGTTATATAGCATGTACCACTCTTATAAAATAATCTTATAAATCAGAAGGATACTTGTTGTTCTAATTCAGGTTTATGTTATCGACAGTGACAATCTGGTGGCCCGGATGTTGTGCACATCTTATAACGATCCTCATCTGACAACATTTGATGGAAAACAATGGGACAACCACTGGACAGGGGAGTTTATCATGTATAAACACAGATATCTGCCGTACTCAGTAAGTCAATGCAAAATTACACGACTAAATATCTACCATAATCTGAGAATGTCACATTCAAATATTAATCCATATGTTACGGTCAAACAAAAATATATACTATACTCAGTGAATAAAGAACTTGGTCCTATTAGGAATGGAAATCCTTTAGTCAAAAGCTGACTGAAGTTTTTCACACTGATGGTTAGGCCAAAATATACACACTGAATTGTCCAATGATTTTTTTGTTATTTACCGATCATGACAAGGAGCACATGGCGGGTGTGACCGGTCAGCAGGAGATGCTCACCTAATCCGATCCGATTTTTTTGGAGGTCCTATTTTGTATCATTTAGTTGACTTTTGAGCATGATTACTTTTCCTTATCTCCATATAATTTATCAAATTGTTAAATATACATGTACATTTAGTAATGTAAATATCTAACTGCACTCCCTTAGAGTTGTTTTGAATGTAATTGTATATCTTTGAAAAATTGCATGATGGCCCCTGCTTTTAGGTGAACGTGTTGTTTTCGTCCTGTATTTCAGGTGAATGTGTTGTTTTCGTCCTGTGTTGCTGGGTACGCTACCTGTAACTGTGGTGTTGCCATCAGAAGCAGACTCAGTCTCTATGTTGTCCGGACGTGTGCCCAGGTCTCTTCCAAAGACACAAAGCTGTTAACTGTACCGTACGAGAAACTGACTCTAAACAGAACCACTGACCTGAACATAGCCAAATCAGGACGTCTCTTTGAGGTGACTCTTTTTGAAGAGCAACAAATTCAAATTTAATTGTTCAGCTTCAAGAATTTGTTCATTTCTATTTTGTTCCTATCCTGAAACTTAATTAGGAATATATGCAAAGTGTTCGAATGTTTGAAAATTAAAAGAAATAGGTTATTGATAGTAGCGTCCAAAATGCTATTTTCTCCTCAACTGAATTATATGACACTTTTTATCAAGGTCAAACTCCCGAGCGGAACACGCGTTTCATTCGAGCTATCTTATGACAACTCGTGGATTTCTAGTGTCCGGGTTCAGGCGGGGGTCCTTGACATCGGGAATAGTGAGGGTATGTGTGGATTAGCTAATGGACACCAAAGTGATGATTTCATACCCAGGCAGGGAAATGTATCCACAGACAATCAGACATTTGCCTTATCTTGGAGGTAGATATTGGATACCTGTTTCATGCGTTAGTATAAAAATGATAGGTATGAAATAAGCTATACTCTGATGATAAATCTGGCATTTTCTGATTGCAGAATTCCTTTGAAATCCCAGGAGAGCTTGTTTACCAGTAACTCTGACTCACTGCTAATGTAGGTACATTAGAGACATCTTTTTTTCTCTTTTCGTGTACTTTTGTGCCAGGGTCTTTCTTTGACTTAGAAATTTTGTATTTTATATCTTCGTTATATAAATCATTGAAATGACTTGTCCCTCTTAACAAGAATTGGTAATTACCATCCAGAAAGATACAGTTTGTGTACTAGAGGACCGGACGGATCCAGCGATCCAAACATGCACAACCTCCCAATACCCAGCATGCTCTGTATAGAGGAAGAGTCATTCACAGCCAATCTGTCCGTACTGTCCGATCGGAATGTTAATGGCGACTTTGCAGATCCACTTTCCTACGATTCTGAGTATAATGAGACAGAGAGTCCTCGGGTAAGATTACTAGTGTCAAAAAGATTTTCAAAAATCAAGACGTGCTTCCATTTGGCAGTCCTGTTATATAAATGAATTTTTTATATTTATAGACATCAGGATGGACTAATGGTTGGACAGAAAGTTCTGCTCGCACATTTTGTGAGAACTCCTTCACAACTGAAGCTGCTGTTGATACGTGTGAAAAAAAGGCGAAAGTATCCTCAAGTTCCTATGTGGAGAGCTGCATAGCTGACATTAAGGTATGATTTCCATAGCCACTAAAATAGCTCATTTTGAAATAATAGATTCCACTGACTGGTTAACTAAAAGACACAAATTCTTCTTAATGGTAAACTTTTTCTTGTTTAGCTTTCAGGAAATACAACATATCTACAAGATAGTTTAAATACTTTCAAAGGTGCCTGTTTAGCGGAAGTGACACATGATGAGGCTTATTACGTAAACAAAACATCAGAGGGACGCTTTCTAGTCGAAGTCATCACATCCTTTCTTTGTCCACAGAATTGCTCTGGACATGGAAATTGTACAAATGGTAATGGTTCTCGATTTGTATTTCTTACGATTTAACCTTCATACATATACATGAAATTTGAAACTTAAAACGACGATGATTTCTTCAACCAGCTAAAACAAATCCGAAGAGTATTTTGCCCATTAGTCTATATTTTTGAAAGACAAATCACTGATTCCTATAATGGACCAACCTAAATACTATTTCTAGCTAGCTGCGCCTGTTTTGATGGATATATTGGCAGTGACTGTTCCACGTCGACCTCTACCCCTCCTGAGGTTTTTATCCTCCCTTTCCACGGCCTCTGTGATAAAAACTCTGGCTCATGTCAGAATATCGTCGACATCATCGGATTTTTCCATTCAGAGCATGTCTGGGCAAACTTGGAGTGCTTCATGGTAACTTTTTGCTGATGCTTCGCATTTCGTTTCTTGAGTAACCATTATCTTTATGTAGAGCATTGGTGCATTAGATTTACAGGAATCTGATTCAATGAAATACTAGTATTTTTCGCAAATCATAATATACCCCCAGTCCTTCTTCAAACATTTTTATTAATGTTTATCATTTATATTGTTCTGTCTTGGTTTACATTGCTTATTTTATCTTTAGATATCAACTAATGGATCGATCATAACAACTACTGTCTCGGTTACAAAGCTTACATACCATCACTTCAATCACGTGTCATTAGAATTACCCATAACTCCCCAAAACTCCCAAACCGAGGCTGCGCGTGGCTGCAGCATCAGTCTGAGTTATGACGGTGTTGTTTTCAGTAACCACCAGACATTGTTAATATATGACAAACAGAAATACAAATGTGACTTGGAAAGCCTGACGTGTGAACAGAAAACAGTATGTATTCAGAAAATTATGTTCAGAATTTCTAGTGCATACATTATATTATGAGGTGCTTGCGTTATTAAAGGATTAACAAACTTTTGGGGACAATTCAGAAAGGAAAAATTAAGAACAAATTTGATATACGAGGGCCGCTCAAAAATTACGCGGACTGTGCTATTATTATGTTCCCCAAACGAAGTTGGGGAACATATTGTTTTTACTCTGTTTCTTATTATTATTATGTTCCCCAAACGAAGATGGGGAACATATTGTTTTTACTCTGTTTCTTATTATTATTATTATTATTATTATTTTTCTTCTCGGGAAAATTTTGTCCGCGAATGATCTTGTAAAGTACACATCCGATTAAGGGGAAACCTTTTTAGGGTAAGTAGGCATGTTATGTAGATTTGCGGAACGAAGGTCATTTTGCGCGCACGTGCTTGCAAGAGCGCGCACGTGCAACACGTGAAATGACCAATATGCTTGAAATTGCCGTAACTTTTACATTTTTCGATGTAATGCTTTGATATTTAGAATATATAGACATATTATAAATGTAGATAAGATGACATTGTCAACATGCAATTTTGTGTGCACGTGCTTGCAAGAGCGCGCACGAGCAACACGTGAAATGACCGATTTTATTGATATAGGCGTAAATTTTTACCTTTTTAATGAAATGCTTTGAGACTCATAATATAAGGATATAGTAGTAGCATAGACAATATGACATGGTCAAAATAGCAAGATCTCACGCGCATGCACGTGCGCTTGGCTCTGATTGGCTGAAACTAAAGTCTCAATATCTTTCTTGTTTTTTGATGAAATCCTTTTAATTTTGTACATAGCCATGCATTAGGATATCTTACAACATGATATATAACAATTTTCATGAAAACACGTGCATGCACGTGCGCTGCAATCTGATTGGCGAAAACATTAAATATCTATAACTCCCTTGGTTTTCAATCAAACAGGACGGGATTTGGAACATAGATAGATATAATAGACTTCTACAAGAAGGTATGGTCACCATGCACATCCATACACGTGCGTGTACGTGCGCTGCAATCAAATTGGCTGAAACTTTAAATAGCTATAACTCCCTTAGTTTTCAACCAAACAGGATGAGATTTGGAACATAGATAGATATAATGGACTTCTACAAGAAGGTATGGTCACCATGCACATCCATACACGTGCGTGAACGTACGCTGCAATCTGATTGGCTGAAATTTTAATCAGCTATAACTCCCTTCGTTTTCAACCAAACGGAGTGGGATTTAGAACATAGATAGATGTAATGAACTTCTACAAGAAGGTATGCCACCATGCTCATGTATGCACGTGCGTGCACGTGAAATGAGTAAAATCAAAAATACACTTGAATGAGCGTATGTTTTAATACTTTTAGATTAAATACTTTAATATTTAGTATATTAAAGTATATAGATTGTGTAGACAAGATGATATTTTCATTACACACATGCATTCACATGCGCACGCGTGCAATGCTAAAATTTGAATGAACTTGGTACCCTTCTGGGTAAACGTTGTTAAAGTCTCAAATGCATAAAGTTTGTCTTATTTAATGAAGCTTACAGGGAATATGGCACCAAAAGGGAGATGGGGAGCGTTTGGGGAACATCTGTAACGGTCCCCGTTACAATTAGCACTAGTTAAGGTCTTCCGTCTTCAGCGGAAGACCTTATTGTTATTCTTAGGTTTCTTTTCCACTTTTATTATTCTTTTTTTTCTTACCGATTTTGTGCACGCGATTTCTCAAAAACGGCTCGATGGATTTCCATGAAACTTTCAGGACTTATGTTACATTACTTGAACCTTATGCATTTTTTTCCGATTTGATGACGTCACTTCCGGTTTGGAGATATTGCCGATTTTATGATTTTTGAAAGGTCAGTTTGTCCGCAGACTTTCTCAATAATGGCTCAAGATAGAAACTTGAAACTTTCAGGTAAGATAGACCAAAGTCTATAGATATGTACAACGAATTTCATTTTTATCGGAAGTGCCGCACGTCGGCGCTCGCTATGGCCCAAAAATAGTCCTATCACATTTTTCAAAATTTTTATCACCTTTTCTACTCTAACTTTTTACCTAGAAATATTTTGTGAAAACACATAGAACAAAAGAAGTGTAGAATTTCAAGATCTTTCAAATGATATCTCGAAAAAAGGGCTGGCCCCTAAAAAAAGGGACCTAGAGGGGCCGAACGTTTTTCCTTTATATCTCAAAAAGTATTGAGAACTTGTAATACGTCAAAGAAGCAAAGTTGTTCAAAATGTCAAGCTTTATCTATTGAAGTCGTCAAAATACGTCCGGCATCGTCACTTCCGGCCAAACAGGAAGTAGTGGAAAATCATGTTTTTTTGCCGTTCTTAACAAGTTTTTGGGTTATATATGTCTCTGAGAGCATGAAAAGTAATTTTTCCGTCCGTCGTCGTATCTTCCGGTCAAACCGGAAGTCGCAAAAAATGGCTCATTTTGAAGTTTTTGATGCAAAATTGAAATTATAAAGTCACTGGAGACTACTTAGCTCAATGCTTTCCTTTGTTCCGTCACTTCCGGCATTTCCGGTAGAAACCGGACGGAAGACCTACTCGTTGCTTTGCAACGAGCTTTGCTCTAGTTATTCTTATTTTTCTTCCTGGGAAAATTTTGTCCGCGAGTGATCTTGTAAACTACACATCCGACTTAGGTAAAACCTTTTTAGGGTCAGTAGGGATGTTATGTAGATTTGCCGAACGAAGGTCATTTTGCGCGCACGTGCTTGCAAGAGCGCGCACGTGGAACACGTGAAATGACCAATATAATGGATATTGCTGTAACTTTTCTTTTTCTTGATGAATTTTTTTGAAACTCATAATGTAAGGATACATTAGTAGTATAGACAAGATGGCATGGTCAAAATAGCAAGATCTCACGCGCATGCACGTGCGCTTCGCTCTGATTGGCTGAAACTAAAGTCTCAATATCTTTCTTGTTTCTTGTCATAATCTTTTGAAATTTTGGACATAGTACTACATTTCGAAGATCTACAGCATAATATATAAAATATTTCATGAAAGCATGCGCATGCGCGCGTGCTGCAATCTGATTGGCTGAAACTTTATATGGTAATATCTCCTTTGTTTTTTGACGAAATGCTTTGAAATTTAAAACATAGTCATGCATTAAGATATCCTAAAATATGATATAGAAAAAATTCATGAAATCACGCGCATGCACGTGTGCTGCAATCTGATTGGCTGAAACTTTATATGGCTATATCTTCTTTGTTTTTTGACGAAATGCTTTGAAATTTAAAACATAGTCATGCATTAAGATATCCTAAAATATGATATAGAAAAAAACTCATGAAATCACGCGCATGCACGTGTGCTGCAATCTGATTGGCTGAAACTTTATATGGCTATATCTCCTTTGTTTTTTGACGAAATGCTTTGAAATTTAAAACATAGTCATGCATTAAGATATCCTAAAATATGATATAGAAAAAAACTCATGAAATCACGCGCATGCACGTGTGCTGCAATCTGATTGGCTGAAACTTTATATGGCTATATCTCCTTTGTTTTTTGACGAATTGTTTGGAATTTTAAAATATAGTCATTCATTTAGATATCCTTGAATACAATAAAGATAAAAATTTATGAAATAACGCGCATGCATGTGTGCTGTAATCTGATTGGCTAAAACTTCAAATGGTTATAACTCCCTTGTTTTTCTACCAAACAGGATGGCATTTAGAACATCGATAAATAAAAGGGACTCCTACAAGAAGATGTAGTCATTATGTACGTGCTTGCACGTGCGTGCACGTTAAATGAGTAAAATTAAAAATACACTCGAATGAGTGAATTTTTTAATACTTTTGGATTAAATGCTTTGATATTAAGTATATTAAAATTTGAGATAGTGTAGACAAGATAATATGGTCGTTATGCACATGAAAACGCGTGCAATGCCTATTTTTAAATATATTTTGTATTTTTCTGGGAAGACCTTGATTAAGTCTAACTTCCATAAAGTATTTTTTATCTAATAGAGATTACAGGGAATATGGCACCAAAAGGGAGTTGGGGAGCGTTTGGGGAACATCTGTAACGGTCCCCGTTACAATTAGCACTAGTTTACTCTTACAGACGTCATACAGTAATAAAATTTCACAGGAATATGTATCTTAAAGATTCCAATCAATTTGGGGCAAAATTTCTGTATTTTGAAAAATTCTACTAAAATTATCAATATGTTGATATCGTTGATAGAGAGCTACGGCACACGACAAAAAATTGAAGCTAAAGCATGCGGATTCAAAAATTTAACTCATTGATTTTCTAAAATTCGCGATATTTTTCAACAATTTTCTCAAATAAACCTTTAAATTGTTCTATTATTATGTATATAGATTTCGGATGTAATATTTGAAGTACTAACAGAAATATAGTGATTTTTCTCTGATGCAATTCCCGTGAAAACGACAGTGAAAATGACGTCTCCTGAATTGACGGCGCACCATTTTTTTGTTAAAATATGTGTAATGCTCGAGATATCGGCAACATAGATTTAAAATATACATAATAAAACATGTAGTAAACTAGGCTACTCGTGACATTCGCCTACAGAAAGCAAATTGAAATTTTAGACAGTTAGACCTCTGTAAAAAGGCTATACGGATGGGAAGAAGATTATCGACGAAAAATCTGGACTGTAAAGAACGTGATTGAGAGTCACCAATATTTCACTATATCTCATAAGTAGTTTTTGGTTTTAAAAAAAAAAAAAAAAGAAAATTTTTCGCTTGTTTAATAGATTTTAAGCTTTACAAGAAATGGTGTTTTGATGTTGAGTAGATAAGGTAACTCAAACTATACAGGTTCTCAAGGGAAAATGTTGAGAAAATGAAAACTCAATCACATATTTTTTATAATGCTTGTGACGTCGAAGATTTTGCTGCGCTGTGACTTAATGGTATGTCCTGAAAAATCACTCAAAATTAATACCAATTTACAACATTTTGATATGAAATTTTGAAGACCATATAAGTAAAGATTCTTTTATATTATCTATGAAATTTTGCCCGATTATGTCGTCAAATATTTCTTCTGTGCAACAAGTCCGCGTAATTTTTGAACGACCCTCGTACTAGTATATGAATTTAACACATTAATTATCTTATTTCAATCCTGTCATCTATCAAAAGAAATCAAAGTTAAAAAGAGGGTTTTTACAATTTGTGATTTTCTATCCCGTTTTAGCTAGACACGAGTGATCCTGACAAAGGAGGTAAGTCTATTCCATTCGAATTTTGAATAATGTGGAACGTATACTAGTACGTTCTTGTATTTATTTATTGGTAATGAATTTGTACTTACGTCCAGAGTTCTTTTTAATTCCAGATAGATTTATTTTGATAGCAGCACTGGTTGCCTGTTTTGCTATCGTACTGGTTATCACTGCTATACTTGTAGTGAAGAAATGCAAAAGGTATCGTATTTTCACATATATCGGAGGTCGAAACTGATGTCTCCTTTTCTAACTTACAGTAAGAGCATCTTTCTTACTCACTTCAGCTATTTTCCATGCGCATCAAAGACATCAATGATACC